TTTACTGTTTCTGTAAAAATACATCAGACTGATGAAGGAGAATCAACAGCAGGTTCTCTCTCTGTGTTGCCTTCACAGGTGAAGTTAAATGTGGTGACTCAGTGATTTTCCCTCGCAGATCCCACAGTTGACTTCAAAAGCGTCGTCAGTGTCGGTTCGGTCAGTTTGTTGAAAAAGCTTAACACTTTGTGTAGCAGGATGGATTGTTCTGTCCTCGCTCTCTCTCTCCGTCACTGCTCCTCTTCTGATTGGTGGGCGGTGCTATGGGAACGGCACGCGCCTTATGTTTCATTCCTCCCTCAGCAGTGGTGCTGTGATGTGGGTCGTTTGGCGTGCAGCTACATCGTGGTTTTGCGCCGTCTTGTTGGCAGCTGCTGGACACTCTGTGCTGTGCGTTGTTCGCTGGTGGTCCCGCTCGTCCTCTGCCTTGGACCGGCTTGTGGTGGTCGCCGTATCTGTGAGCTGTAGAGCCGTCTGCGTCACGGCTCCAAGTTCCCCAAATCCAAGTCGCTGGCCGGAGTCACGGTGTGCAGCCTGTTCGAAGCTGCTGTTTGAAGACGCTGTTTTTAAGCGGATTTTGTGCCGTTTGTAAGTTGTTTTTAAACGGTGTTTGTGCTGTTTTATGCCGCTTTATGTTTTCGTTTTTCTTCGTTACGTTCTGCTTTCGGTTTCGTTTGATTTCGTTACGTTCTGCTTTTGGTTTGCTTTAGGTTTCGTTGTGTTGTGCGCACTCGTTTGCTTCTCTCCGCTGTTTTGTGGCCCCGTTCTTGGTGTGGTCTGTCACCACGGACAGCGTGGTAGGATTGTGAGGCCACCAAGCGGAGCTGGTGCCTGGAGTTGCAGCAGGTCCAGTTTTATTCCTGCGCCATCCTATTGTTTCACTGTATAGTTATAAGTTTAGTGATTATGTTTTTCATTAATTGTAATTTGTTAACTCCTTCATTTTGTTGTTTTTCTTTTCTTTTGCAAATTTAGTATTTTGTGTATTTCATTAAATTGATTTGATTCTGTTTCTTTGTGCTGACAGGAGCTGTGGGCCCCCAGATCCCCCGGTGGCCCTTCCCTTGCTGTGAAATGCACTCTGGGTGTCTTTGGTTTGGCGTGTCACATGGTGTTTTAAGTTGAGCCCCATTTTTCCTGCTGGCTGCCCTGGTAAGCCCCAGCCCTAGTCCCCCTGTGTATTTAGTTATTTTGTTTCTTTTGTTTTCACATCATTACCAGCATTTGTAAATTCAACCCCTAACCCCTTAACAACGATTAGCTGCCTTTTTATTAGAAATTGTGTTAGAAATAAAATCATAAGTTGGGAATCACGTCTCCAGCTTATTTGTGAAACGAACCTGTGTGACCTGTTAACATGCACATTATTGTCTGGGGTGAAACTTCCCAGGTGGCGTTGTCTGCTCTCAAACCAAAAACTCTACCGCCCTGCCACATCTGTCTCCATCTGGTGGCATCAACAGTGACACAGCAGCTGACATGCTGGAC